CAGGTACTTTGACCGTGATATTGAATGCATCTTCAAGTTTTTCAGAAAAAGGTTAGTTTTTTGTTATTCCTTATATCATTCGTTCACAATACCTGGTAGCAAATGATCTCATCCTTAAATTCTCCTTCTTCTGTGAACTCTGGTCCTTTCTTCAAGGTTTAATATGTCTTTCCAAGAAGATAGAGATGAGTCAGATGAGACAGAGGTGGAAATCGATGAGAACAGCAGACCATCTTTCTATGATATAACTAAAGATGCTAATGCCCTGGATAGAGAACTAGAAGCTAGTGGGTTCACAAAAAAGGAGCAGAATGACCTCGATAAAGTATGTGCTAATGTAATCGATAGTTTCTATTTATTGCGTGTATACTTTGAGTTTTAGGCGGCTAATGTGTCAGTTGTATTATAATTTGCAGCACTAGTCTCTTTCTGGTTTTTTTTTTCATTCTTTTTGGTGTAAAATGGAATATAGCATAAACACGTGGTTTCTATCTGTACAGTTTATTGAAGGTGGGCTAGAGAAGAGTAAAGATTCCGATGAGGATGAGGAATCTGATAATGAAGAGCAGACTTGTGAATCAACTGAAGAAGAAAACCTAAATGAAATGAAATCATTAGAGGTGCAAGAGAAGGTATAAGAACTTTCAAGTTCATCATATATGCTTGAGGAGAGATGTTCTCTGGTTTTGCGCATCATCCTCGTGCTTACATTGTATGCTTAATATGATGTAGGAGAAGAATAGTCCAGATGGTGTTGAGGCAGAAGTTGAGTTGGATAATACTGAGAAAGGTGAAAATATCGAAGATAAAGCCGAAGTTGGAAGCGATGAGGTTAGTTTCTTTCTTCTGCGTAGTAAGACAGAGTATGAGCTAATTGAATCACTTTAGCAAACATTAATGTCCCTTCCTTTGTGCAGGAGGAGAAAGAAGAGGATGATGCAGAGCTGGTTAGAAAATTGGGAAAGCAAAGACGCAGAGCCATGGCTGCAGCCAGGGGAGGTCGAAAGTCGCAGTCTTCGAGAAACACTTATAAGGACAAAGGAGGCCGCTCCCAAAACTCCAAGATCCACAACAACACGAGCGGCTGGTGAAAACTTTTTACAAGCAATTTTGATACACAAAAAAACTGTGCAAGATGTTGAACCAAAACAAATATGTATGTTTCTCTCCAAATATGGACCGTACAATTATGTAAACGGACCCAAATGAGCCGAAACTGAACACCAAATCTAAATGATAATGGATATGTTACTTTATAAAATCCATCTGAAATGCGATTTTGTCCAAATTTGTTTGATTTTATTTTTACGGGGCTAAAACAGAAAATACATGCAAGTCCAGGGAGTAGTTGAGAAACGCTCCCTCAATAAACGGAAATAGAAAGAAATAAAAAAAAAAAATCTCAACGCAACGGCTAGTGATCTCTCTCAACGGTCGAAAAAATTTAAACCTTTTTATAATTCTGATCTCTCTCAATCTCCTCTTCTTAAATCTCAATCTTGTTCTCACAATCAATCTTCCTCCGAGATTCCATTTG